TGCATTATGTAGTCATTACGCCTATAGTAGAAAACTTTCCATTTACAGAAAAACTAGAGCCAATTGACAAATTTCATTGTTATATTTGAACTCAGAATGTGAAATTCATTAAGAAATGGATCCTTTTGTTTCCAAAACTGGCAAAAAATAAAAATTTGTTGAACAGTGTTATCAGACGATCGATCAGAAAGTGTGTTTTTTTTTGTTAGATTTTCTCATCAAGTGCACTAGGCATAGGGGTTAACTACTTATAAAGGGATACAGAGCATGTAACTTTCCTTATTAAAACAGTGAGAGTGCACCAAAAAAGTTGTAATGAACCAGCCCATTCCCATTGCGGAGTCAAACTACAAAGGACATGGTGGAACAAGCAGCTTTTTCTTCAGAACAGAGAAAGCTAGGACTCTGTTACCTTAAAGGCAGAGAGGAGGCACAGAACCCTCTAGCTGTTCCTGAAAGGTGGAAGAGAGAGAGGAGGAAGAGAACCTTCTGATTGTTCCTGGGAGGTGGAAGGGAGAGAGGAGGCGGAAAATGTCCTGATTGTTCCTGGGAGATGGAAAGTAGAGAGGAAGCAGATAACACTAATTCCTGGGAGGTGGAAGGGGCTGAGGAGGCAGATAACACTGTGATTGTTCCTGGGAGGTGGAAGGGGCTGAGGAGGCAGATAACACTGTGATTGTTCCTGGGAGGTGGAAGGGGCTGAGGAGGCAGAGAACGTTCCAGCTGTGCCTAGGAGGTGGAAGAGAGAGAGGAGGCAGAGAATCTTCTGACTGTTCCTGAGAGGTGGAAGGTGGAGAGGAGGCAGAGAACCTTCTGATTGTTCCTGGGAAATGGAAGGGAGAGAGGAGGCAGAGAACACTGTGATTGTTCCTGGGAGGTGGAAAGGATTGAGAAGACAAAGAACGTTCTGATTGCTCCTTGGAGGTGAAAGGGAGAGAGGAGGCAGAGAATGTTCTAGCTGTTCCTGGGAGGTGGAAGAGAGAGGAAGCAGAGAACCTTTTGATTGTTCCTGGGAGATGGAAAGGAGAGAGGAGGCAGAGAACCTTCTGATTGTTCCTGGGAGATGGAAGGGAGAGAGGAGGCAGAGAACATTGCGATTGTTCCTGGAAGGTGGAAGGGATAGAGGAGGCAGAGAACTTTGATTGCTCCTTGGAGGTGGAAGGAAGAGAGGAGGCAGAGAACATTGATTGTTCCTGGAAGGTGGAAGGGATTGAGGAGGCAGAGAATGTTCTAGCTGTTCCTGGGAGGTGGAATAGAGAGAGGAGGCAGAGAACCTTTTTGATTGTTCCTGGGAGATGGAAAGGAGAGAGGAGGCAGAGAACCTTCTGATTGTTCCTGGGAGATGGAAGGGAGAGAGGAGGCAGAGAACATTGTGATTGTTCCTGGAAGGGATTGAGGAGGCAGAGAACTTTCCGATTGCTCCTTAGAGGTGGAAAGTAGAGAGGAGCAGCAGCTATTTTCCATTTTGAAGAAGGCAGAGAAGGAACTCCCACAAACTACACAGAGTAAAGCTAGAGGAAGCATTGAGGGATGTATGTATGGACTCTGTACGGTAACACTTCTATTCTGGATGTATGGACTCTGCACGGTAACACTTCTATTCTGGATGTATGGACTCTGCACGGTAACACTTCTATTCTGGATGTATGGACTCTGCACGGTAACACTTCTATTCTGGATGTATGGACTCTGCACGGTAACACTTCTATTCTGGATGTATGGACTCTGCACGGTAACACTTCTATTCTGGATGTATGGACTCTGCACAGTAACACTTCTCTTGTGGTCACAGATCAGACACACGCCATCTTCTTGTCATGTTACAGTTTTATTGAAGTAAATTCGGTACAATAGTTTCTAGGTGCTGAGGAAATTCAGTGTTTACACCTCTAGTAGTGCACATGTAGACATCTCCCTGCGGGCCCCAGGCGTGTTCTGGGACAATTTCTCATACATACGTACATACAAGACCCCTGACACACACGACAGCCGGTGGCTCCTCGCTCACATACAACGCGTGTGCTACTCTAAGGTGGATACAGGTCAACAGGTACTATACAACACTCCTGACATTCAAAGACGTGTTACCAGTTCATATGACACAAGTGGTACAGGAGCGTGTTCAGGTGTCATGGATCACATACAGTGCACACACGCACACACGTGTACTAATAATTCAAGAGAATCTGTTGCTGAATAATGTTGCATAAACTAGTGCACTAAATAGGTAAGCATCTCTAACAAGCCAATGATATGAAGCAGAACCTTCTACTCCACAGTAATGGCCATTCACACTATTCCAGTGACAGGTTCACTTTAAGGGCCAGGGTCCAATGGCTTTCACATACCAAGGAAATGCGCTGCTCAGTCTGCCTCGGGTGCAGGTCACATCTGTCAGCACTCCTCATGTGTTGTAAACAAAGAAGACAGTTGCACTCAGATCACATCGGTATAGACAAAACGTTATTGTTCCAGACATGATTCGAAGTTCTCCAAGAACAGCCTCACTCTACAGCAGGGGTAGGCAATCTGGGCACTATCTTTTGTGGAACAAGTCCCATGAGGCATTGCAAGACTGACAGCCACAGACATAACCCCAAGCTGCTGAGGTATGAAGGGATTTGTAGTTCCGCCACAGATGGAGTGCTGAGGCCAACTACCGCATCTAAACTGAGGATGGCCTGGACGGGCTTCTTGTCCAGAGCACAAAAGCGCCGTCTATGCTGATGTCAGATTGAAAGCAACTTTTTTTTTTGTTTCCTCCAATGGCTTGTTGCCGCCGCCGGAGCCACGTGTAAGCCCGGCGGCCATCTTTAATAGGGTCAGTGCTGCTTAACTCTGCATTACCACCGTTTACTATTTTAACCATTTAAACTGGAATAAAGCTTTTTCTTAAATACTACACTATGGGCACCTGGTTTATGGCTCCTTCATGGAGCTATTAAGCTTTTAGATGACCCTCATCGAATTGAATACCCAGAGGAAGGGAACCCTGTATCCAGGCTGAGCACCCATCCATCCTAAAGGGGACCTCTGGACCTAGCAGATTTCCTTAAAATCCCAAGACTTGATGACCAATCCACAGAAGGAAGCTCACCATATACCTGACACATTCCGCCTACCTAAGAGATCCTTGGCGGTTACATTTATATGAGCATTACCTATGCGCTTCTGGTGAGTGTGCAATTTTACTGTTGAGTCCAGTCACAAGCCTGTTTGAAATCTGCTACAGAGGAGATTGTTTATTCACATATGAACTCTTATGAATTTTATCATTTATTATTAACTTTTTATATTGGATGAACTCTTATTCATTAATTTGATAAATATTTATCAGCGCTGCACTTCCTATTTTTAAACCTATGGCAATGCAAAAGCAGCTGAAGCAGGTCAAATGCAAGTCAATTCCAGTCGCCTGCAATGAATTAGGAACGGTCTCAGGCTGCATTGTCCCACCAAAAGCCCTTCGATGCTGGCCCCAAAGCGGTTTCTACTTGAGATTCCATGTAAGAGGTTCCTCTTACACGATAAACCGGGGACGCACATGACAAATATATTACATATGATCACAACCGGTGATCTGCACACAATCAAGCGAAAGTCCAGAACGATGTTAATCTATATTATACACAGAAAATTCAGACAAATAAATAAGACGGTAAATAAAATCTCGTCGCTCGCCGATGGCTTCTGCCGCCTGCACCACCCGCGAGCGATGGATGCCGGGCGGGCTCACCGCGAGCTGTACAACTTCAGGCACAATATATAAAAAAAATAAAATCAGTCTTGACGTACACCGGATTTATAGTTAGCAGAGGAAGATATGATTTATAGTCAGACAGTGCTCAGAACACGCCGGAGATGCGGCACCGCAGGGACTGAGATGAGAGGGGTTACAATATACATCTAGTGTTATCAGCACATGGCATAGCAGCTATATGGTCCGGTGTGGTTAGTCTGGAGACATGCCGTGCGCACCGACACTTGTCACGCCCACTGGCGGCAGGCGGGGGGGGGGGGGGGGGGGGGGGGGTGGAAGGGTTTGGGGTTAGATCAGAGGGACTCTTAATTCTGGCCATTGTTTTGTTTGTTTTTTTTTTTTCCCCTTAAAGTCACATTACTGATATTTGCAACCGATTCAACCGGAAAAAAAGCAGAAATTCAGGTCCTGCAAACGATCAGATTATGAATTTGATTGAAACGGCCGCTACAAATGATGCAATAAATAACTGCGCGTGAATGAATTTAGAGGGGTCCTTTGACTCAAACAGAGGTTACTGAAAGAGACCCCCCTATAGATATCGCCAATTCTGTGTGGTCACGTTAAGAGGATGAGGAAGGAAATGCATTGTGAGCATCACTACACTAGTGGTGTCATGTGACCTGAGTACTGCCCACAATATAATGAATTAAAGGACACTCAGAATTCCACAAATGTGAAGAGAGACCAGATTCCCAGAATTGCGGCAGAATGTGCGAATGGTCCAGCAGGAGTCCCTCAGGAAAGTCGGTACCAGGAAGACCGCTTAAAAACTAGTAGCGCAAGAGCGACAATGTCGCTCCAGAGGTGACGCCCGACACCCTAATATCGACAACCAGAGCCCCCAAGATGATATTTATGTCCTCTAAATCCTTTTGGGAATAATTAGCCAACATAAAACATACAGAGAAGAGTTAGACGCCACACATACACACACGCACTAGTTACACAGCACAAATACAGCTGCGCAAAGTGGGAGGAGGGGCTGCCGAGGACACTGTTCACTCCCCCACCGCCGCCCTCCCCCCAACAGCTTCCTGGTGCCTTATTGCTATTGATAAGGCCTCTGAGGGTTCCATGACTCCTGAAGTGTCTTCCTGCCCTTCCAGTGGAAAATAAGACCAGTTATGAATGTGCTGCACCTCGGCCTGCGGAGTTAATAAGGACGTTAACGGGCAGAGAGAGCGCAGGACAAGGGAAGAGGATGGTGAAACTCAAGGATTATAGGTGTGGGGAGTGGTCATGGCGTCTGCCCACCGGGGCGCTTGTTTTTAAACGAGCCAAATAGTGTCTGCACCCCTCGGCGGACAGAGGAGCCCACTCGACGAGCCACGGAGTCAGCAGGAGGTGTAGGAAGGCAGGAGGAGCTCTGGGGCCGCGCGTCCAAGCACTTCTGATAGCGCAGCTGCGGGAGACATGAATGACATCATCGTGTTACAATGGAAGAAACAAAAAACAAGCTTCAAACATAAAATGCTCAGTGCTGCAATCACTGCTATGTGGTTTTCTTCCAATGAAGCCAGGTTAACATACAAACTATTGCTAAAGAATAATCCTTTTACATTTGGCCTTCCCTGGTTCCACCCTCCCCGCCTCATCAACGCAAAAATAACATTTTAACCTCTTCACGCAGGCCAAACGCAAATGTGTAGCCTCCCAGCATCTGGGCCTAGACGCCGAGTGGCCGCACATTTGCGTTCTATTAAAAAAGGACATATATGTGTCGAGAGCGCGCACCCTGTGAGCTCCCAGCACACATGTCCGGTACTCACGGAAAGGTCCCAATCTCCTCTTTCGATCCGGACCTTTCCCGATCATGTGACCACCGTGACGCTAAACCCCACCCCGCCTCCCAGCTTCTGAAACTCTTAAAGGGCCGGGAGGCGCCGGCGTGAAGGGGTTAAAATAAAACCTGTTTTCATTACATATCGAATTTCAGACCCAGTGATATCATTACATCATGAAGGCAGATCATGGCTGGTGGGAGGGGCGGCAGGGGCTGTACATAGCTTCCTAAAAACCTCACAGCACTCTGCCTCAGTACTCCTATCAAGAACCCTCAGACCCGATGCAAGCAGTGGGCTGACTCTTGGGAGGAGTTATGCAAATATCAAAAAGCGTTGATGGGTCAGGAGGAATGGGCGTTCCTAGGCAGTCTGTATTTGCATGCAGGCTGTCAATCAAATGCAGTGAGGTGGTGGGGGGGGGGGGGGGGGGGGGAAGCTAAGTACCGCTATGTAAGCTCCATAGACACACAGCTTGGGAGTGCAGACACTGTGCCTCCATAGCAAGCGATTTGCTATGGGGACACACAAAGAGGAGGAGCCAAGATCACTGGCTGGGTACCATACAAGAGGAGGATCAGGGCAGCTCTGTGCAATACCACTACACAGAGCAGGTGAGTATATCATATTTATTATTTTAATTAAAAATCATTTTTTTAATAGCAAGTGGCTTGCTATGGGGACACACAAATAAGAGGAGGAGCCAATATCGCTGGCTGGGGATCATAGAAGAGGAGGATCGGGGCGGCTCTGTGCAATACCACTGCACAGAGCAGGTAAGTATGTCATATTTTTATTTTAATTAAAAATAATTTTTGTACTTTAGTAACACGAAGTTAAAAAAAAAAGCACATGCTCCCACTGGTAACTTGTCACATGACCAATGCTTTGGCACTGGTCTTGTGGTGTTTGGTAATCACTGATTGGTCTCCATGGAGCCTTTAGAAGACATAGCACTAGCCATGCACCTGGACTGCTAAAATAACTAAGGATTGACTGTTTAGGTCTTGTTCTTCTTCAACAATAGTGTCTTATACAGATGTTCAGGAAATATCAATAGAAAATGTCCGTCTTACCATGCAGGCAGCCTGTACTGCCTCTGACAGGTGGGCCGCATTGGGTTCACACCAGAACATGTGGCACACGAATATTCCCGAAGCCTCTGCCATGATGAAGGCGAAGCTGTGGATGTCACGTCCGACACCCATAAAAGACAGGAAGCGAACGCGGCACTCGCTGATCGTTTCTTCGCTCTGCAAGGAAAGAAAGAGATGGTTTTGACAATGACAGCTACGGATGACCCATAATGCCCTTGTGGGGGTGGTGCCTGGCTTCTCTAATGGTGGACCATGATCATTTTAGCCCAGGTTTACCAAATTCTCAGGTCATGTTTTTTTTGAGAACCTCAGGTGAAATACCTGCACTACTCTCATTTCAAACACCCCTCAGTAGGACCCATTGGGGTTGTTTTACTAAAACTGGAGAGTGCAAAATCTGGTGCAGCTCAGCATAAAAACCAATCAGCTCCAGGTTTGTTTGTTTTTTTGTCAAAACCTAATTGAACAAGCCGATGCCAGAAGCGGATTGGCTACCATGCAGAGCTGCACCAGATTTTGCACTCTCCAGTTTTAGTAAATCAAACCCCAATGTACCCAAAGAAATGCAATACAATGTGGGTCAAAGGCAACCTCCCCATTGATGTCAATGAGAATTTGCTCAGAATTAACGTGCATATCATCTGCAGAAAAACTGCCCACCTACATGAGTCCTTGGTGTGCTTTGTGCAACACAGATGTAAACCATGGCTGGTTGACATGCATCTGTGCACTGGATATTAACCCCTTCATGCCGGCGCCTCCAGGCCCTTTAACCATTTCCCATCCAGCCCATGTACATAAACGGCCGGACGGGAGCAGTGCCGAAGTGGGTTGCAGTTTATAAACGGAACCCGCATTCTCTGCCTGTGTGAGGTCCGGATTCATGTGATCACTGATTGGCCAATAGAGATTAAACACAAATACAGCTTTATCAGGGGTTCTCAAGTCATATCGCCCGATACCCGTGACACGCAGTTCCAGGTTCCGGGCAGGTGGGGTTTTTTATTTTACATTTAACCCTGCTGCGGACAAGAAGGCTGTTTAGCCTGAGTTCACAGATATGGGTGCTGAAATCTCAATGCTTTCACAAGGTTTTTGTGTGATTTTGGCATCTCTCTCTCTCTCCTCACAACTGTGTCCCATTGACTTCCATGCAAAAACTCCCTCCATTCATTCAATGCAAAAACTCCTGTCAATAGCAATCCTATGTGAACATAAGGCACTCTATCACTTACGAGTCTGGAACGCACTGCAACAAACACGCACAGGACTGCGTGTGGATCTCATCTGTGTAAACCGCCTCAATAGGAACACATAATATCTAGTCTGTCATGCGAATCTGTGCACCAGAGCAGCTCCATTCACACCTTGGCGTTTTGGGATCGTGAAAGAGTTGCCGCAATTCTGCCCATGATCACAAAATGCAGGTTCAGGTACCATTATTTTTGATGGCACCTAAAACGTGGTGCGGTTTTGCCGCAATTGTCGTGTGGCAAATCGCATCGCGTGAAACTCCTGCTCCTTTTTGGGCAACAAGCTTCACGTGAGCCACACAGTAAATTGCGCATCAAATTCCATCGTGTGAAACTTGTTGCCCAAAAGAAGCTCCTGTTCCTTTTTAAGTAACAAGCTTTACGCAATGCAATTTTCCAGGCAGTAAATCACAACAATCTCGGCAAAACCACAGAGCGTTTTAGATGCTATTGAAAATACTGACACCTGAACCTGCATTTTACAATAGCAATGTGATTTGAGGTTACGGGCAGAATCACACTGCAATCCCAAAACGCCCAGGTAGGATTGGGGTCTAACAGCGCCAGAGCTTGATTTGGGTGCTCAGCAGGCGCTTGAACTGAACAGTCAAGTGTGTTTCTGTGTGCGAGGGTAACCTGAAAGTGGAGTTCCACTCACACTGTCAAAAAATAAAAGTCAGCAGCTACACAAACTGTAGCTGCTCACTTTTAAAAAACAGCCACTTACCTGTCTCACGATCCCGCGGTGTCCTCCCCTCAGCCCGTTTCACCAGCTGTCTGGTGTTCCAGGCGCCGGCATCTTCAGTGTGGGCACCTTGCGGCTTCACAGCCGGGTGGCTACTGCTCATGCACGAGTGGTGCTGCGCTTCCTGAATGGCCCCGTAGTCTTCTGGGATCTGTCACGTGTCCCAGGAGACTACAGGGGAGGGAGGGAAGTAGGACAACCTCCGCTTCCGATCGCCTAGGCGATCTCAGTGGAAGTGGGTACCTGTCAATTTCAGGTACACACTCCCCCCCTGCTCCCCAAAGGCGCCAATCCTTAATGGGGAGCGGGGGACAAGTCTTTAAAGTGGAACTTCCCCTTTTGGTTTCTCATTGGGGCCGGCACCTTATTTACTCGCTTAGCAGATGTGCTTCTGTTGAGCGTTAAAAGAGCCCGAGGTCTAGTCCCCGGGTGCGGTGCTGAAGACAGGCAGGGAAGTGAGGAGGAGGTAACCAGTGCAAAGTGAAAAAACATTAAAGGAAGAATATCATTGTGAAACTAGAAAAGCTACAATTTCTAGGGAAATTGTGTGAAGTGTTCTTGCCTCCACCAGTAGTCTACAACTGGAGTGGGCGGAGTAACTGGGTGGAGCGGCTTGAGTAACTGTTGTGTGGTTGGAGTGGGCGGAGTAACTGTTTGTGTGTGGTTGGAGTGGGCGGAGTAACTGTTGTGTGGTTGGAGTGGGCGGAGTAACTGTTGTGTGGTTGGAGTGGGGGCGGAGTAACTGTTGTGTGGTTGGAGTGGGCGGAGTAACTGTTGTGTGGTTGGAGTGGGCGGGAGTAACTGTTGTGTGGTTGGAGTGGGCGGAGTAACTTGTGTGGTTGGAGTAACTGTTGTGTGGTTGGAGTGGGCGGAGTAACTGTTGTGTGGTTGGAGTGGGCAGAGTAACTGTTGTGTGGTTGGAGTGGGCGGAGTAACTGTGTGGAGTGTTTGGAGTAAAGATAGTAAACATTACACTAACCAATTGATTGATCAAATTTAAAAAGTGCACATGGCAAGCTTGATAGAGTGAGAAATGCATTTCAACTTTTAATTATTTACAGTCAGGTCCATAAATATTGGGACATCGACACAATTCTAACATTTTTGGCTCTATACACCACCACAAATTGAAATGAAATGAACAAGATGTGCTTTAACTGCAGACTGTCAGCTTTAATTTGAGTGTATTTACATAAAAATCAGGTGAACGGTGTAGGAATTGCAACAGTTTGCATATGTGCCTCCCACTTATTAAGGGACCAAAAGTAATGGGACAGAATATTAATCATAAATCAAAACTTTCACTTTTTAATACTTGGTTGCAAATCCTTTGCAGTCAATTACAGCCTGAAGTCTGGAACGCATAGACATCACCAGACTCTGGGTTTCATCCCTGGTGATGCTCTGCCAGGCTCTCTACTGCAACTGTCTTCAGTTCCTGCTTGTTCTTGGGGCATTTTCCCTTCAGTTTTGTCTTCAGCAAGTGAAATGCATGCTCAATCGGATTCAGGTCAGGTGAGTGACTTGGCCATTGCATAACATTCCACTTCTTTCCCTTAAAAAACTCTTTGGTTGCTTTTGCAGTCTGCTTTGGGTCATTGTCCATCTGCACTGTGAAGCGTCCAATGAGTTCTGAAGCATTTGGCTGAATATGAGCAGATATATTCCCGAAACACTTCAGAACTCATCCTGCTGCTTTTGTCAGCAGTCACATCATCAATAAATTCAAGAGAAGCAGTTCCATTGGCAGCCATACATGCCCACGCCATGACACACTACCACCACCATGCTTCACTGATGAGGTGGTATGCTTAGGATCATGAGCAGTTCCTTTCCTTCTCCATACTCTTCTCTTCCCATCACTCTGGTACAAACAAGTTGATCTTGGTCTCATCTGTCCATAGGATGTTGTTCCAGAACTGTAAAGGCTTTTTTAGATGTCGTTTGGCAAACTCTAATCTGGCCTTCCTGTTTTTCAGGCTCACCGATGGTTTCCATCTTGTGGTGAACCCTCTGTATTCACTCTGGTGAAGTCTTCTCTTGATTGGTGACTTTTACACACATACACCTACCTCCTGGAGAGTGTTCTTGATCTGGCCAACTGTTGTGAAGGGTGTTTTCCTTCACCAGGGAAAGAATTCTTCAGTCATCCACCACAGTTGTTTTCCGTGGTCTTTCGGGTCTTTTGGTGTTGCTGAGCTCACCGGTGTGTTCCTTCTTTTTAAGAATGTTCCAAACAGTTGTTTTGGCCACGCCTAATGTTTTTGCTATCTCTCTGATGGGTTTGTTTTTGTTTTTTCAGCCTAATGATAGCTTGCTTCACTGATAGTGACAGCTCTTTGGATCTCATCTTGAGAGTTGACAGCAACAGATTCCAAATGCAAATAGCACACTTGAAATGTACTCTGGACCTTTTATCTGCTCATTGTAATTGGGATAATGAGGGAATAACACACACCTGGCCATGGAACAGCTGAGAAGCCAATTGTCCCATTACTTTTGGTCCCTTAATAAGTGGGAGGCATATATGCAAACTGTTGTAATTCCTACACCGTTCACCTGATTTGGATGTAAATACCCTCAAATTAAAGCTGACAGTCTGCAGTTAAAGCACATCTTGTTCGTTTCATTTCAAATCCATTGTGGTGGTGTATAGAGCCAAAAATGTTAGAATTGTGTCGATGTCCCAATATTTATGGACCTGACTGTATATAGCACATTTATTGCAATGTGAGGTGGCTAGAGTGCAGTTTCAATGAATGTCAATGGGCGGCGTGAGTTGCAAACAAATGGTCATATTGTGAAAACTATCGGCTTAGCCGTGGACATTTTTAGTGGCAGCAGGGATAGCTGAACGTTTTGATATAAGATATGTGTAGGTGGGCTTGAAAATGAGGGAGTGATGGCAGTTTACAAATCATGTCCTGATTTTTCAGCTCACACTCTAGTTTTGAACATTCCGCCATTCATTCCTATGGGACCAATTTCACCACAAAAACGGCGATATTTTGTGAACCATTCGGCGAAACGTTCCACAAAGTAACAGCACACCAATCGGGAACAATCCGCATGTTTCGGTATATTACTGTCTATGTAGTGTAAAAACTGTGGGAGGAGTTAGGGTGGTAAATTTGGCTATAATAATAAGAATATATATTTGAGATAACAGTAAGTGGTCTTGTCATGCAACACTTCATAAAGGAAGAATATCATTGTGAAATAAAGGAAGAATATCATTGTGAAATAAAGGAAGAATATCACTGTGAAATAAAGGAAGAATATCATTGTGAAACAGGGCAGGTGGATCCTGATGAAGCACTTTGTCTATGCAAAACGTGTTGGTCCACCAGGCTCTGCATTTATGCAATCGTGATGCTAAGTGACTGTCTAGAACACGGGTGTCAAACTGGCGGCCCTCCAGCTGTTGCGAAACTACAAGTCCCACAATGCCTCTACCTTTGGGAGTCATGCGTGTAACTGTTAATCCTGCAAAGCCTCATGGGACTTGTAGTTTGGCAACAGCTGGAGGGCAGCCAGTTTGACACCCGTGGTCTCGGATATGGGTTTCTATGGACCTAAGTTTTTTCATCATATGAATAATGCTGTATTCATTTTTAACCTCATTTGTTTTACTTCGAGTGACACTAACAATATCCTCCTACTCTGATCTCCTATTGGAAAGTCTGGAGATTTTTTTTTTTTTGGTTTACAAGGTATATTTTGGGGGATAGTGTTCCCTCTCTTTATGCCCAGTCCTTCCACCCATCTACATACATATTACTGCAGCATTGCACCTCACTCTGACATTTTCCTGTCCACACACCTGTTGATGTAAGACGGTAACAGTTGCTGATGCCACGTTCACAATGACAGGGACCCATTCGGCTCTATCAGAGCTCAGCGCTGTCTGCAGTGTGGTGTTTATCACATCCATTCCTGGAAGGAAAAAGGCAAAATAAAGATCAGAGCTAGGACAGTATAATATTGCAGTTTTTCTACTATTTCTCTTTGTTAAAAAAAAAAAAAAAATAATACATTTTTTTCTTGGTAAAAGAAAAAAAAAAAATGTCTGGATCTTGCTCTGGTGCTTGGATGAGAAAACTGAACAGAATCAAAATCTATGGGCCAACACTTCCACTTTGTTTTCCCCAGTGTTCCCTGTAAATCAAAAGCTGAATCCATTTTACAGATTAGGCCTCTTTCACATGGTTAGCACTTCCGCCTGGCAGTACTGGGGTCGCTGGTTTAAATCCCAACCATGGCACCATCTGCCTGGAGTTTGTATGTTCTCCCTGTGCCTTCGTGGGTTTATTATTTTTTTACTGGGAGCCTGCAAAGCAGTACACTCGCAATCAGCAGATCGTGGGTTCTATGCAGGGTTCTTGCAGACTTCCTGTGTCTGCGTGGGTTTCCTCCGGGTACTCCGGTTTCCTTCCACACTCCAAAGACATGCTGGTAGGTTAATTAGCTCCTGTCTAAATTGTCCCTAGTATGTGTATGTATGAATGTAAGTTGGGGACCTTAGATTGTACACCCCTTGAGGGTTAGGGACTGATGTGAATGTACAATATATATGTAAAGTGCTGTGTAAATTGACGGCGCTATATAAGTACCTGAAAATAAATAAATAATGGTTGGTAAAAACAGGCAGCTAAACTGCGGTTTTACCAGCCTGACCTTTTAACTAAAGTCTAGAATACAGCTGCAGCAAGCTGTTCACATGCTGCAGCCATGATGCTTTGTATCCCAGCAGATTTAACATGGCATTTTGAGTTGACAGGAAGGACCACCTGTCAAGCTTGGGCCTTCTAGTTAGTGGGGCTGCTTGGCTTGCGTTCAGAGTGCAATAACCCAATTGTAAACTGTAAAAAGAAAAAAAAAAACAGGAGCACAGGTTCCTGCTGAACACCTGACAGCAGCTGCTTAGAAAAGCGTTCCACGGCGGTTTACTTTTCAGAGCATGGGCTAGTGTAAACCTAACCTAATTTCTGATGCTGAAGAGAAGGTGTAGCAGGTATTGATCTGCATCTGCATCACGTATCAATAATGATTCTTGAACACCTCTGTGCACCATGTGGAAATGCATGCTAAACACATGGAGCATACTACAGATATAAGTCCAGTATTTGAGGGAGTAGCCTGACCTAGAACCTGGAGCATACTACAGGTATAAGTCCAGTATTTGAGGGAGAAGCCATGCCAAGAGTAGCCTGACATAGAACCTGGAGCATACTACAGGTACAAGTCCAGTATCTGAGGGAGAGGCCATGCTGAGAGTAGCCTGACATATACCTGTAGTATGCTCCATGTTCTAAGTCCGGTATTTGAGGGAATAGCCATGCTGAGAGTAGCCTCAAACATAGAACCTGGAGCATACTACAGGTATAAGTCCGGTGTTTGAGGGAGAAGCCATGCCCAGAGTAGCCTGACATAGAACCTGGAGCATACTGCAGGTACAAGTCCAGTATCTGAGGGAGAAGCCATGCTGAGAGTAGCCTGACATAGAACCTGGAGCATACTACAGGTATAAGTCCGGTATTTGAAACAGTAGCCATGCTGAGAGTATCCTGACCTAGAACCTGGAGCATACTACAGGTATAAGTCCGGTATTTGAGGGAGTAGCCATGCTGAGAGTAGCCGGACCTAGAACCTGGAGCATACTACAGGTACAAGTCTAGTATTTGAGGGAGAAGCCATGCAGAGAGTAGCCTGACCTAGAACCTGGAGCATACTACAGGTATAAGTCCAGTATTTGAGGGAGAAGCCATGCCGAGAGTAGCCTGACCTAGAACCTGGAGCATACTACAGGTATAAGTCCAGTATTTGAGGGAGTAGCCATGCCGAGATAGCCTGACATAGAACCTGGAGCATACTACATGTGTCAGACCAGTAACTGACGGTGCATCTATACCAGGGAGAATCACTGATATAAAAACTGCTGAGCCAAATCACAGAATACATAGCAACCAGAAAGGGCCAAGCGGGGCCATGGCACCTACCCACAGGTTTGACGACGTTAACGTTCCCCAGATAGTACACCTGAAACCGCTGTACCAGTTCATTCTTTGGGGCTGGAAATTCAACTGAAAGAGAAGGAAAAGATGATCAGTAGAGGACAATTACCCACTAAAAACAACTGAAGGGAATGGGTGTGGGTACTAGGTTCACAAATAAAAACTGGGGGGAATGGGAATGGCTATGATTCTCATCCTATGTAACACCGGCTATGAATCTCATCCTATGTAACACGGGCTATGAGTCTCATCCTATGTAACACGGGCTATGAGTCTCATCCTATGTAACACGGGCTATGAGTCTCATCCTATGTAACACCGGCTATGAATCTCATCCTATGTAACACCGGCTATGAATCTCATCCTATGTAACACCGGCTATGAATCTCATCCTATGTAACACCGGCTATGAATCTCATCCTATGTAACACCGGCTATGAGTCTCATCCTATGTAACACCGGCTATGAATCTCATCCTATGTAACACCGGCTATGAGTCTCATCCTATGTAACACCGGCTATGAATCTCATCCTATGTAACACCGGCTATGAATCTCATCCTATGTAACACCGGCTATGAATCTCATCCTATGTAAACACCGGCTATGAGTCTCATCCTATGTAACATGAGCTATGAGTCTCATCCTATGTAACACCGGCTATGAGTCTCATCCTATGTAACACCGGCTATGAATCTCATCCTATGTAAACTCTCATCACAATTATTTCTTTGTATGCTTTAACATTAACCCCTTGCCCTCCTAAGGATTCCTCCCCTTCCTGACCAGTCCATTTTTTGCGTTACGGCGCTGACTGTAGCTGCTGACTTTTACAATACAGCCACTTACATGTCCCTCGGTCAAGCGGTGTCCTCACTACCTCTGGTTTCACCACCCGTGTTCTCTACCCGGCATCTTCAGTGTGGGCACCCAGCTGTGACAGCTTGTGGCTTCACAGCCGAGTGCCCACTGCGCATGCGCAAGAAGCACTGCGCTTTGTGAATGGCCCCGTAGTCTTCTGGGGCCTGTCACGTGTCCCAGTAGACTACGGGGAGGGAGGGCAGGAGGAAAACCTCCGCTTGCCTAGGAGATTGCAGCGAAAGTGGGAGCGGGTACTTGTCACATTGGGGTACCCGCTCCCCCTCCCCAAAGGTGCCAATCCTTAATGGGGAGCGAGGGACCAGTCTTTAAAGCGGAACTTCCCCTTTTGGGTGGAGCTCTACTTTAAACTGACAATTGAGCGGTCATGCAACGCTGCACCCGAATAAAATGTAAGACATTTTTTTTTTCACAAATTGAGTTTTTTTTCGGTGGTATTTGATCTCCTGTGCGGTTTTTATTTTTTGTGCTATAAAGAAAAAAATCAGGAACGACAACTTTGAGAAAAAACACAATATTTTGGAGTTTTTTTGCTATTAAACATGTCCAGTGAAAAAATTAAAAAAATCAAATTTCGTCATAAATTTAGACCAAAACGTATTCTGCTCCGTGTCTTTGCTAAATAAAAAAATCCCAATATGTGTAAATTAACTGGTTTACGTGAAAGTTATAGCGTTTACAAATGGCGGTATATATACTGGAATTTAGTTTTTTTAAATTTTTACTAATAATGACGGTGATCAGCGACTTATAGCAGGACTGCGGCGGCCATTCTGACCCTGGGGGGAACTGACTTTTGATGTCACTGACATCCCCAGTGACACCTATACAGTGATCAGAGCTAAAAAAAAAAAAAAAAAAAAAAAAAAAAAAGCACTGACACTGTACTAATGGCACTGGGCAGAAAGGGGTTAACATGAGGGGTGATCAAAGGGTTAACTGTGTGCGGGGAGTTTTATACTAGGGGGCCATGTCAGTGTGCTTCAGTGTAATCACACTGCTCTGGATGGCTGTGCTGTGCACAGCCATCCAGAGCAGTGTGCCCGAGCTGACAGGGAGGACTGTTAGTAAACAAAAGAGCCCTCTTTCCCCGTCGGAGATCTTTGGAAATCACTGAGAGCCGGTAAGTAATTACCAGCTGAGACCCAATGATTGACAGCCACAGGATGGGTGGGATGCGCGCCCTCTGCCCGGAAATGCAAAATCACATATATATGTGATTTTACGCACCCGTGCCGCCCTGTAGCAGTATTTTTGCTATAGAATAGACGAGAAGCGGCTAACAAGAACCTTCACTGGAAACACCCTGCGCTCAATTACTGTAGGAGGCGGTGTCACATCATTTTTGCCATATAGTATGTGAGATTATTAGATGTCCACAAACTTTTGATCATATAGTGTAAGTGTGAAGGTCTGAGGCTGCAACGCGGCATGATGCCCCACCTTGGAAAGGAATGTCCACCATTCTCGAATGGTCCAGGAAAAGCCCATCCACCAGTGAGCGGTTACTGCGCCTCTCAGCCATAATCTGTGGATAAACCAGATATAGTGACATTCAAAATTAGACATTCAACAAACTGCAGACATGTAAGATTTACTTCTGAACTGACAACCCACAAAAAGAGGATAAGTACTCTGATCGTTGTATATATTATTTATAGAGACACTGTCACCTGTCCATTCGGGGAAAAGTGACCATGCCATCAGAGAGCCCAACTCAGCAAGATATACTGACCCATCCATGCACCCTCACCGGCTCCCCACAGCAGAAGTCCATGCTGAGAAAGCTTGGGAGTCCAAATGTACCCCCAGGTGGAAGAGGTCACTGAACCCCCAGCATGTGGGCCTGGCCGCTCAGTCTGGAGCACCGTCATATTGGGGAAGTCTCATGCTCCCCCATACCTGGAAGCTCTGTTTTATTACAGCGACTGATCCAAAGGAAATGGGAGGCAGCGAGGGAGAGCAGACTGGCAAACTTAACTTGCTGGGGGAATCAGTCCTGTCACTTTGCTTAAAACGTACAACCTGACCCTGTTTCTATGGCCTCATGCACACAGGACATTTTGCAAGTGCTTAGGCATTAATTGCATTGGCTAGAATAATTTTATCCATTGAAATGAATTACTGTTCAAGCGCTAAATGCGCCTAGTGTTAACACACATTTATAAGCATTGAGCGCTTTTTCTGCCAAAGCTCTGCTGCTCCTGGATGCACTGGCAGTGGGATTCTCTTTTCCTGCCTCTGAAAGTTCCTGTGTGCTAGCATTCAGGGTAGTTTAAAGGCAGAAAAAAACCTCGACGCCCCTAGATACAGCTGCAAAAATGTCCAGTGTGCATGAGGCCTGTAAAGGAATAATGCCGCCGTGTGTAGTTGGCTGAATATTGAATTAAAATCAAAAGGAGAATATTTGCGCTATGTTAAAGGTAACATTTAGAAATGTTAATTGTGCCTAAGAAGTGCCCTGAAAAAAGTTATATTTTGCCTTTAATTCCACCTGATAGCAGTGCACTCCTGTTCTGTAGCTTTAGAACTGCAGTTTGAAATGTAAGGCACCGCTGTCTCTGATTGCTAGTCTGAAAAATATTTGGAATTCTATGTGCTGCAGAAGAAGTTGTACCTGAAGACCTGCAGTGCAAGGGTCTCCCTGCTTAATCTATTCTGCGATTCTGTGCTTTCTCCACCTCTCCTGCTGCTTCTTGATCATTACTCCCACCAATCATCAGATCAACAGTTATCAAGGGACTGTTCTAATATGAGGAATCAAAACCCTTCTCATCTACCAAAATGGCTTTCTCCACCAGAGACACAGGGTACAAAGGCATGGTCAGTAATGGGGAAAAATGAACTGAGATTGATCGATTTATTATTATGTATTGTGGATAGAATGCAACACAAGTGTGTTCTATATGTGGTTAGAAAATGAAAAAAAGATACAGTTCTCAGCATAAATGAGTACACTTTTGAAAAGTAAGATTTTAATCAATATATCAATGAACAAAAGAACAATTTCCAAAATGTTGCTAAAACTGAGTTTTATAGAACATTTGTTTAGCTCATTACATGAAAGTAAGACTTATAATATAACTTAATTACAAAATCTGCAGTTTTACTCAAATGAGTTGATGCAAAAATGAATCCACCCCACAACAATAACTACTGCTAGTATTTTGTATGACCTCCGTGATTTCTAAGGACAGCACCAAGTCTTCTAGGCATGGAATGAACAAGTTGGTGACATATTGCAACATCGATCTTTTTCCATTCTTCAAGAATGACCTCTTTTAGCTCCTGGATGCTGGAAGGAAAGTGATGCTCAACTTGTCCCTTCAGAATTCCCCACAGGGGTTCAACTGGGTTCAGATCAGGAGACATACTTGGCCACTGAATCACTTTCACCCTGTTCTTCTTCAGAAATAAACAGTGGCCTTAGATGTGTGTTTTGGATCATTGTCATGTTGGAAAAGTGCACGACGACCAAGGGGCGGAGTGATGGTAGCATCTTCTCTTTCTATATAGAGCAGTACATCTGTGAATTTATGATGCCATCAATGAAATGCAGCTCCCCGACACCAGCAGCACTCATGCGGCCACATGGATGGACATTGCCGCCACCATGCTTCACTGTAGGCACCAAGCAATTTTCTTTGTACTCCTCACCTTTGCGACGCCATCCAGTTTTGAAGCCATCAGTTCCAAAAACATTTATCTTCATTTATCTCATCACTCCAAAAGAGTCACAGTAGTCTTTTTTTTTTTTTTTTTTTTTAGCATGGGCTTTGGCAAATTCTAGGCGGGCTTTTTTTGCATGGGGCTTTAGGAGAAGCTTTCTTTCCTAGATGACACCCATGCATGCCATTCATCTGCAGCGTAAGCCGTATTGTGTCACGGGAAACAATCACCCCAGTTTGGCTTTCTACTTCTTTAGCTAACTGCAGTGAACTTGCATGGAGATTTTCTTCAACCCTTCTCATCAGAAGACGCTTCTGTCAAGGTATTAACTCCCGTGGATGGCCTGGACGTCTCTGTGAGGTGGTTGCAGTTCTATATTTGTTAAATTGTTGCATCACTTTTGCTCCAGTATTCTGACTGATAAGTAAAGCGTTGCTGATCTTCTAGTAGCCTTCACCTTTCTTGTGTAAAGAAATTTTCTCTCTTTCTCAGGCCTTCTGACATTTCTCTTCCATGTGGTGCCATTGCTGACAGCATGAAATGGGGAGGGGTTTTCTTTGTTAAGTAACGCCCTTTTATAATCAACTGTCTGCTGGACACCTGTTTAATGAACAATTAGACTCACTTGTAGTTGAATTCTAGTTAATTAGGATTTTGTTGTCTAAAATTTAGCTTTGCTCCTAAGACATTCATTGGGGTGTATTCATTTTTGCAACATGGTCTGGAATTAATTTGTTAGGAAAAATACTTTTTTGTGTGCAAATGAACAAATCGTGTTTGCAATCAATCACCCACATTTTGTGGGAGTATTTTGTAGTATAGTGTCCCATAGAAAATATTGATTCTGAAAGGAAAGTAAAGTTTTCTGACAAATCAGTCGGGGTGTACTCATTTATGCTCAGCACTGTATATATACACCCAGGAGTTGGACAAAACTATGGAACCACCACGTAAAAGAAAAAAATCATTAATATAGTGTTGGACCGCCTTTGCCATCCAAGCTGGCCTGGATTCTCCTGGGAATTGACAAATATAAGTCTTGGATGGTGATTAATGAAATCTGATACCAATCTTCATGCAAAAATCATTAGAATTCTCACAGAGGCGGAAAACAAGTTTGAACCTTGGCCTCCAAAATTAACCAAAATGGCTCAATGATACTGAGGTATAGCAACTACGGCACCCAGAGAAGGTGCAAGACTTCACCTGCATGCTTGTCAAATGTGATTTTACAACATAAGCTTTGTGAATCGGAGCATTATTGTCTTGGTAAATGGAGCCGTCTTGGGGAAACAATGTCTGCACCATGGGGTGCACATAGTCGGCCAATATTTGTACATGGTCGCTGGCAGTGATTCTACCTTTCAAGGTGATGGGGCCTAAAGAAAACCATGAAATGGCCGCCCAAACCATGATTGCGCAACCACCATGCTTTACCGTTGGCACAAGACAGTCCTGGTCGTAAGCTTGGGACGGTGTTGGCAGCACTGTCTGATGTGAACCATGCCTCGCAGAAAAGAGCTCTCAGAAGACCTACGATCAAGAATTGTTGACTTGCATGAAGCTGGAAAGGGTTACAAAAGTATCTCCAAAAGCCTTGATGTTCATGTGTCCACGGTAAGACAGACTGTCTACAAATGGAGAAAGTTTAGCACTGTTGCTACTCTCCCTAGGCGTGGTCGTCCTGTAAAAATGACTGCAAGAGCACAGCGCAGAATGCTGCATGAGGTAAAGAAGAATCCCAGAGTGTCAGCTAAAGACCTACAGAAATCTCTGGCACATGCTAACATTTTTGTTGACACATCTACAATAAGGAAAACATTAAACAAGAATGGAGTACATGGGAGGACACCACGGAGGAAGCCATTGCTGTCCAAAAAGAATATTGCAGCACGTTTGAAGTTTGCAAAAGAGCACCTGGATGTTCCACAGCACTACTGGCAAAATATACTGTGGACAGATGAAACCAAGATTGAGTTGTTTGGGAAGAACACACAACACTATGTGTGGAGAAAAAAAGGCACAGCACACCAACATCAAAACCTCATCCCCAATGTAAAACATGGCGGAGGGAGCATCATGGTTTGGGGCTGCTTTGCTGCTTCAGGGCCTGGATGGATTGTTGTCATTGATGGGAAAATGAATTCCAGAGTTTATCAAGACATTTTGCAGGAAAACGTACGACCATCTGTCCACCAACTGAACCTCCGCAGAGGATGGGTGATGCAACAGGACAATGACCCAAAGCATACAAGTCATTCAACAAAACAATGGCTGTAACAGCACAGAATACACCTTCTGGAGTGGCCTAGTCAGAGTCCTGACCTCAACCACATTGAAATGCTGTGGCATGACCTTAAGAGAGCGATTCACACCAGGCATCCCAAGAATATTGCTACACTGAAACAGTTTTGTGAAGAGGAGTGGTCCAAAATTACTCCAGATCATTGTGCAGGTCTGATCTGCAACTACAGGAAATGTTTGGTTGAGCTTATTGCTGCCAAAGGAGGGTCAACCAGTTGTTAAGTCCAAAGGTTCACATACTTTTTCCTCCCTGCACTGTGAATGTTTACATGTTATGTGCAATTAAACCATGGCAACATCTAAAGTTTGTGTAGTATTATGTTCAGCAGACTGTGTTCTTCTATTGTTGTGACTTAGATGACGTTCAGAGCACATTTTATGCCCAATTCATGTAAAACTCCATGTAACCCCAAGGGGTTCACATACTTTTTCTTGCAACTGTGTATATAAAAAATACATTATAGAAATGAAAACTCACACGGGAGCAGACCCCATGCAGACCGGTGGCGATTGCCTTGGCGGGGACCTCACACCGGAACACGTGACATTTCAGCAGCTGTGTCAGTTTGTCCCTGGCGACATAGGCAAAGTCCCTGCAATGAGGAAATGGCAGTATGAGGGGTGGGGTACAGAAGAGTCGAGAGATCAGGTATAAAACTAAGCACTGGATCTATACTGTACCTCTCTCTGTCCATTTGCAGCACAACCAGACAGAAAAGACAGTTAGTGAGGAAGAGACGGGCACACAATTTATGAGAATCAGCTGAGTTTATTGTACACAATTATTTCTAGATATTCCACAGAAGGAAATTCAAAAATTATGGAAAGCGGGAGGATACAGCAAGAACAACCCACTGACAGATGGTCGAGGTAAAAGTTATGTAAGTAGTATAGATACCAGATAGGTAATAGGATAATACAAGACCATACAAAGCAAGGAATTCTATAAAATGGCAGTACACAGGGCAAAAACAAATAGGTGAAAGTTATTAGCCCCTTTTATACGTCTTCAGTGAATTGCATTCCAGCAAAACAGGCATTTTACAGCGTGTTAAACAGATGTGACACCAATCTAAAGGGACACTCCAGTCTTAGTGAAAGTGGTTCCATGTACTGCACCAGGCCATATTGTAGGCGGTAGGCCCCTGGTTACTGGCAACCTTGTGTTTTCAGAACTTTATCCCTCCTTTGGTTTTATCATGTGGTGGGTTTCCCAACCTTGTCCATGTAACTCTGAGCTCCCTGAAAAGCACACCATTGCTGTGAGAACATATCCTCTTGGCATGTCCACTCAGCTGCCATCACTCTGTTTTCTGCCATGTAGGGCCCTGTCACATAGTACAGCAGGACAGGCGACCTCATTTTTTTATGCTGCAGATCAGCAATAATTTCAGGTCTGGTCCCTTCCCCACCCTGTGAATGGACAGTGAAAGGAGACACAGCACATTTATGGGCTTCATCTCTACTAACTGCTCCTATCAGCATGCTTCTTGTTACCACGTCAGTACAAGTGATTAGCTTCTTACACACACCGCCCTCCATATCACTGGATTCAGGTGTTCCAATCACCTCAAAGGCCACAGGTGTATAAAATCATTACCTAGGCATGCAGACTGCTTCTACAGACATTGGTGAAAGAATGGGTCGCTCTCAGGAGCTCAGTGACACCAAGCGTGGTCCCGTGATAGGTGGTCACCTGTGCAATAAGTCCATCCGTGACATTTCCTGGCTACTAAATATTCCACGCTCAACTGTTAGTGGGATCATAACAAAGTGGAAGCAACTGGGAACAACAGCAACTCAGCCACCAAGTGGTAGGCCACGTCACATGAGCAGGGTCAGCACATGCTGAAGTGCACAGTGCGCAGAAGTCACCAACTGTCTGCAGAGTCAATAGCTAAAGACCTCCAAACTTGGTGTGGCCTTCAGATGAGCACAACAGTAGTGTGTAGAGAGCTTCATGGAATGGGTTTCTATGGCCGAGCAGCTGCATCCAAGCCTTCCATCACCAAGTGCAATGCAAAGTGTTGGATGCCGTGGTGTAAAGCACACCGCCACTGGACTCTAGAGCAGTGGAGATGTGTTCTCTGGAGTGATATTACCCGATTTCCTGTCTGCCAATCCGATGGCTGTGTCTGGGTTTGGCAGTTGCCAGGAGAACGGTACTTGCTTGACTGCATTATGCCAAGTGTAAATTTTGGTGGAGGGGGGATTATGGTGTGGGGTTGTTTTTTTCAATGGGTGGCCTTGGCCCCCCTAGTTCCAGTGAAGGGAACTCTTAAGGCACCAGCATACCAAGACATGTTTGTTGATTTCAACTTTGTGGGAAGAGTTTGGGGATGGCCCCTTCCTGTTCCAACATGACTGCACACTAATGCACAAACCAAAGTCCATAAAGACATGGAGGAGCCAGTTTGGGGTGGAGGAACTTGACTGTCCTGCACAGAGTCCTGACCTCAACCCGATAGAACACCTTTGGGATGAATTAGAGTGGAGACTGTGAGCCAGGCCTTCTCATCTGACATCAGTGCCTGACCTGACAAATGTGCTTCTGGAAGAACGGTCCAACCTTCCCATAGACACCCTCCTAAACCTTGAGGGCAGCCTTCCCAGAAGAGTTGAAGCTGTTATAGCTGAAAAAGGCGGGGCCAACTCAATATTGAACCCTACGGACTAAGACTGGAAAACCATGTTTTGACACAGGTCAACTATGTTTAACACAACAAAAGGAGAAGTAATGGCTCTCTGTTATCCAATTAAACTTTTCAAAGGAGGTTATATGAAAGGTTACCCATAAGGGATTGCAAAATGCAAATTTGTCTGGTTAAGTATTGTAACGGAACCGACACAGACTGCGCTTGAGCACTTCCGTTAGAATACCGCATCATCGACAACAGACACCACGGCCGACCATACAAGACTAGACGATACCAGTCTTGAAGTAAACCAGGAGGTAGACTCATTTATTTTAACACAGATACAAGATATATACACTCAGGGGACGATCCCCCCTCCCTGCATATTGACACAGGGCGGGGCAATCTACATTTAGTAACAAGAGACACACAGGTATTCAAACTTCACACCAGCAGACAGTCCCATCAGGAGGGAGGGCTGCTGGAGACACCAACCCACTAAGATAATACACATACATCCCATAACAGTTTGCTCCCAAACCAGACAAACAATAGAACAATGGGATGCAGCCACATGACATTAAACAATCAACATCCCCCACCTATCTCCGAAACATTTCTACAGAGTCTGAGACAAAGCCCACACGATATTAGGACAGATCACCCTGTACCCCTAACAGGCACAGGGTGATTTACACATAAGAGGGATATGGGGAGCTGAGACAGGGGTCTCCCCACCTCTCCAAAGTGAGCTGGGTTCCATGGGCCCCCCACCCAAAGTGACTCCCGTCACAAGTATTTCTAAGGGTACATTGTTTACATATTAAAGGATGATAAAGAATGTGATATGACCATATGGTAATTAGACTCGAGGGGGTATTCATGGTGAATGGGTGACTTGTTTACTTGGTAAACACTATAGTGATTTTAATTGCCATTTACAGCAATGACAAATGAAGTCTTTTCATGCAAGATCAAAAGTGTTTTGTAGGCCAATCAGAACCCCTCCAGCTTTGCTTACTGGTAGAAAACTGTATATGAAGGGAAATTCAGCTGATAAGACTAGAATCATTCATTAATTAATATGGAAGCACAGGTATACGCTCCCCATCTACTTAATTATATCATAATTTTCACACAAATAGAGCTTTCTTTTGGTGGTCCAAAAAAATGAAACCAGCGCTTAAATCTTCATGCGGACTAGGCGTACTCTAACTGTCATTCATTGAGGTGCAGCTCTTAGAAGATCGGGAAATCTTGGTACTGGTAAAGAAAAGCAAAAACAGGGCGCACGCTCTTCGTAGGCCTGCTACATTTTAGCTCTGAAGAAGGGAGTACGTCTCCCGAAACGCGTCAGCAATAAGGGTCTCCCATTACTTTGGACCGTCACCACTCTTTATCTGTTTTAATCCCCTTTGGTTTGTTAGTATGCACTTTTATGCACATAGAGAGTGCGTCGTTTTTGCTTTTCTTTTGGTGGTATTTGATCACCACTGGGTTTTTAATTTTTTGCCAGATAAGCGATAACAAGACAATATTTTGGGAAAAATAAACAATATTTTTTACTTTGTTGAAGAGCATATCCAATAACAAAAAAAAAAAAATCCCTTCATAAATTTTTGACAAAATATAATCTGCTATGCCTTTGAGAAAAAGAAAACCCAATAAGTGTATATTGATTGTTTTGCATGAAAGTTATAGAGCCTACAAACTACAGTATAAATAATGCATTTTTTTTTTTTGCTAATACTACTAATGGCGGCGATCAGCGACATAAAACGGACTGTGGGTGTGCAGCAGGCAATCCGGCACGGACATTCTTTTTCTTTGAACAATGTGAACAATGTCTCCTAGCTGCTTCCCCTATCTTTGCCACATGGAATACTGCCGATAAGGGGTACTTTTGGATCGAGGTATTCGGATCCATTACTCAAGTTGATCTTCAGAGTCCAATGTGGGACTAAAAGTGCGGTTAGACCGAGCATATATATGTGAGTGAGGTCGCACTGCTGGAGGTGAGCAGATATCGGGTGGAGGAATTGTGCACATTTCTTTGGTTGGAGCACTTGGTGATCACAGAAGGAAGGATATTCTATTGAGAAGCAATCCTGTTTGGACTTTCACATTATTATCACTTATATTATTAACTATTATTTTAGTTACATTTCACGATTTGTAGCGCTGCACGTTTCTTCCATTTATTTATGGACACTGACATTACTACAGCCCATATGGAAGAAAAATATATTTGAAATATATTTTTAAAATATTCTTCCCAATATATTGCCATATATTTGAAATGCTACAATTTTGGCCATATTCAATACAGTTCTATATATATATATATATATACACACACATATACACACATATACACACATTGCATGTTGAAATGCATTTTTAAATACATTTCAAATATACTGTATGTCTTTAAAAATACAAATCTACATTTTTGGAATGCATTTCCAAATATACAAATATATGTAAAAATATGTTAAAATGGCTTTTTTATATGTTTAAAAAAAAATCTGAAGAACATATTTAAAAAAAAATATATTTTTAAAAATATATTCAATTAATTTTTAAAATATAAAAAAGCCATTTTAACATATATTTGTATCTAAAAATTTAGATTTGTATTTTTAAAAACATACAGTATATTTGAAATTCATTTTTAAAAATATTTTTCATATATTTTGTTAAAAAAACACATTTCAGCATGCAGTATAAATATATATTTACTGAAATATATTGAGTATGTCCAACATTGTAGTATTTCAAATGTATGGCAATGTATTTGGGAAGAATGTTTTTAAAATATATTTCAAATATATTTTTCTTCCATGTGGGAGTGAATGATGATAATACTATACACTGTCAATGTACTAATGACACTGGCTGGGAAGGGGTTAACATCTAGGGCGATCAAGGGGTTAAAGTGTGCCTATGTGTAATGTGTGTAAACTATGCTGCTTTTACTACTAGATCTCTCAGTTTCTCATCCAACTGACAGATAGCTCCCTCTGTACAGAGCTCTGTGTTTTTCACCAACAGAGAGCTCTGGGCTGTGATCATACACAGCCAAGAAGCAGTTCCCAGCTGTAAATCATTGGCTGAGACTTGCTGATAGGCTCCTGCTGTGTACAATCACAGCGGGTGCCGGCAGAGAGGAGGGCACGCACGCTATAACCAGGAAGCAGGCATGTAAAGTCGTTAACTGGGGTGTAATAGGTTGGGCTAAACAATTCCAGGTCAATTTAGTTGGTCTTTGGACGATAACATGGAACCCCATTAGGTGTCCTCCCCCTCCTGAGGGCTGTATAGGTTTGATTATGTCATCTATTTTTAGTGAATATCTAGATCTGAAGCCAGTATTAGTTGCCACCTAGTATGTGGAGACCAGTTTGGCCCTATATGGATCTTAAACTCCATTGCTCACTCACTACTTCTTCAGACTTTCTCCACTTTAGAGAACGTGATGTAGCGCAGTTTCCTCTTGCCTTTATTTATATATAACGTTTTATTCCTAGGCCTTGTTTATTAACTGGATCACCGTGGGAGATAACAGCTCCATGTATCAATAGTAATTCAGTACTCACCTCCCGTCGTCCCGTCCCACGCCCCACACTCGGATGCTGACAATAGGCTGGGAGTGGAGCAATGTCTCTCCTGCAGAGTCATAGAGCTTCAGAGAATCCTCATCCAAGACCAGCAACATGTCCTTCCCCTGAAGAAGAAAAAAAAAATCAATTCGATAAAACCTTCCAACATCTTACATAATGAGCATCCTAATCTGCAGTCTAACTTTATATATTTCTGTCTCACACAGCGCAGTCCATATTCATTGATTGTGATCTGTAAATAGTAGTTGGCATATTACCTGAACAAGCCTGGACAGAGGAGAAAGATCTTTCCATGATTTCTGTAAGTTCTAAACACTCACAATATTTCCAAATCATTACGAACATCTGATCATCACACCACAGAAGCACAGTCCAGATGCGTTTCTGTATGTGTGTTTTTGATGTGTTCCGGTTCATTTTTATCCCTCTTTGTTCAACTTAAATAAGGACATATGCATTCCAGTGCGTTTTTGGTGCATTCCGGTGCATTGTTGGTGCATGCCGGTGCGTTGTTGATGCATTTTACTGCGTTCCAGTACAGTTCAGTGCAGCATGTTTTATTTTTTTTCTCTGGAACTGGAATGCACTGGTGTGAACTATGCCCATTGGAAACCATGTAACCTACTAGCAATGCTAGTGGTGTCTTCCTCCAGCCCCTATCAAATACATTAGTGACAAAAGGGTCCAGCCATTAACCACCTCCCATCCGGCTGTTGTATATAAACGACTGGATGGTGGCAGTGCAGGGGTGGGTGACCATTTATAAATGGCCTCTCCGCCCCCTGGGAGCGCACAGCACCGATCTGGTGCCCGCTGTGTCCTCCGAACACAGTGGAACACCGATCGTCGTACAGGACCTCTGTGTGAGGTCCCGATCATGTGATCACTGATTGGCCAATCAGTGGTCACATGCAGAGTAGTAAGCAAGATGTCACTTCTGACATAATTGCTTACTATGTGTGAAATCTGTGAATGATCACAGAGATCACATGGTACAGGGCTATTCACAACAGCCTTGTACCATGTGACAAGCTGTGACCAATCACAGCTCACACAGTATTTCTCAATGGCTGCAAGGATGCAGCCAGAGAGAAGGAGAAATTATTGATTTTACAGCCTTTATGGGTGTAAAAGCAATCAGTGTAAAAAAAAAAAAAAAAAAAAAAAAATCTTCATCACCCCCCACAAGTAGTAGTGACACTGTACTGCTAGGGTGACAGAATGTAAAAAAAAAACCCAAACACATAAATAATATATATAAAAAAAATGTAAACAAAATTTTTAAATTATAATTTTTGGTTATAAACTAATTTGGGTTATATTTTTTTATTTATAAGGTAACTGAATACATTTTGGCCAAGATTTATGATGAAATATTATTTATTTGCAAATTTTTACAAGAAAATCACTTTTTTTTTTTCCAAACGTTTTGGACATTTTCATTTATATAGCAAAAAAAATAAAAATCCCAGTGGGGAATAAATACCACCAAAATAAAGCTTTATCTGTCTCAAAAAAATGCTAAAAAATTCATAAGGGTACAGTGTTGCATGACCGCGCAATTGTCAAAGTGTGATAGCACTGAAAGCTGAAAATTGGCCTGGGGGGAAGGGGGTGAAAGTGTCCGGACTGGAAGTGGTTAAGGGGTTTCTAACGCAGGGAGGCGGGGTGGAGTTTAGGGTCATGTGACCACTGTGATTAGCTGTCACGGCAGTCACATGATCAGAAAGGTCCCAATTGCAAGAATTAAATACCACCAAAAGAAAGCTTTAGTTGTGTCAAGAAAATACCATTTTAGTTTGGGTACAGTGTTGTATGACCGCGCAATTGTCACTCAAAGTGTGATAGCGCTGAAAGCTGAAAATTGGCCTGGACAGGAAGGGGGTAAAAGTGTCCGGACTGGAAGTGGTTAACTGCCATTAGCCTCAGTTCACACTGTGAACCATATGTGAATCGCACCAAATTCCTGTGCAAATGACATGTGATTCTGTGCGGTGCGATTTGAGACATTCATTTTGAACGGCTCAAACCACACACCTGCATCAATAAAACGTGCGGGCAGCTTTTTTTTTTAAACTTTCCATTGACACCGGCAGCAGATCACAGAACACAGTGTGACTGCTATGCGGTGCATGAAACGCAGAGGACTCGTTATGTTTCCTGCACTGCATCAGTGTGAACCGAGGCTTAATCAGAGCATTGATCATGTAATTAATGCTTCAAAATGCTGATGTACAGATTGGCATTTTTAAAGCCAAATTTTAAATCAGACAATTGGTGAGCATTAAGTCACTAAAGTAATTTCAATCTTTAAAACCCTCAATCAAAATAATACAAGAGAAATGAATGCAAGGAGCAATGGATGTGTGTGATGGAGCATGCTTAGAGCAGATGGCTGATTATCTGATGTCTGTTACCATTGTAAATCTTACTCTGGAAGACATATTTAGTAGAGTGTGAGGTCTCTGAGTGTCGGATGATTCAGAGCTACACAAAGTAACAGCCAGAGTTACCTGGGATCAGGCTCTGATTGTGGAGTGACAACTGTCTGATGCAAGTGTTTACAGCGACGCTGCTTCTTCCAGGAGCCAAATCCTCTTCTGTCATTTCCACCCAACCAAGAGAGCGCACTAAAAATTTCTGAAAGGGACCACAAAAAAAAAAAAGTAACAAGGATGGGTGCACTTTTCACTCTTGTAAATAAACTGTATGACGGACTCTGTATTTTATTGATGGTTGTTACAGTACAAGAGAGAAGGAGCCAGAAACAGAGGGGGAAAAGAGAAAGGGGGAACGAGAACAAACCCACTTTGCACTAAATGGATAAAGAGAGAGAGCGAGCAAGGGAGAGAGAGAGAGAGAGAGAGAGCGAGCAAAGGAGAGGGAGAGAGAGAGAGAGAGAGAGAGAGAGAGAGAGAGAGAGAGAGCAAAGGAGAGGGAGAGAGAGAGAGAGAGCGAGCAAAGGAGAGGGAGAGAGAGAGAGAGAGAGCCCGAGCAAAGGAGAGGGAGAGAGAGAGAGAGAGCCCGAGCAAAGGAGAGGGAGAGAGAGAGAGAGAGAGCCCGAGCAAAGGAGAGGAGAGAGAGAGAGAGAGAGCGAGCAAAGGAGAGGGAGAGAGAGAGAGAGAGAGGAGCCCGAGCAAAGGAGAGGGAGAGAGAGAGAGAGAGCCCGAGCAAAGGAGAGGGAGAGAGAGAGAGAGAGAGCCCGAGCAAAGGAGAGGGAGAGAGAGAGAGAGAGCCCGAGCAAAGGAGAGGGAGAGAGAGAGAGAGAGCCCGAGCAAAGGAGAGGAGAGAGAGAGAGAGAGCCCGAGCAAAGAGAGAGGGAGAGAGAGAGAGAGAGCCCGAGCAAAGGAGAGGGAGAGAGAGAGAGAGAGCCCGAGCAAAGGAGAGGAGAGAGAGAGAGAGCCCGAGCAAAGGAGAGGGAGAGAGAGAGAGAGCCCGAGCAAAGGAGAGGAGAGGGAGAGAGAGAGAGAGCCCGAGCAAAGGAGAGGGGAGAGAGAGAGAGCCCGAGCAAAGGAGAGGGAGAGAGAGAGAGAGCCCGAGCAAAGGAGAGGGAGAGAGAGAGAGCCCGAGCAAAGGAGAGGGAGAGAGAGAGCCCGAGCAAAGGAGAGGGAGAGAGAGAGCCCGAGCAAAGGAGAGGGAGAGAGAGAGAGCCCGAGCAAAGGAGAGGAGGGAGAGAGAGAGCCCGAGCAAAGGAGAGAGAGAGAGAGAGAGCCCGAGCAAAGGAGAGGAGAGAGAGAGCCCGAGCAAAGGAGAGGGAGAGAGAGAGCCCGAGCAAAAGAGAGAGGAGAGAGAGAGAGCCCGAGCAAAAGGAGAGAGAGAGAGAGAGAGCCCGAGCAAAAAGGAGAGAGAGAGAGAGAGAGAGAGCCCGAGCAAAGGAGAGAGAGAGAGAGAGCCCGAGCAAAGGAGAGAGAGAGCCCGAGAGGAGAGAGAGAGACCGAGCAAAGGAGAGAGAGAGAGAGAGCCCGAGCAAAGAGAGAGAGAGAGAGAGAAAGGAGAGAGGAGAGAGAGAGAGAGGAGAGAGACCGAGCAAAGGAGGAGAGAGAGCCCGAGCAAGGAGGAGAGAGACCGAGCAAAAGGAGAGAGCCCGAGCAAAGGAGAGAGAGAGAGAGGCCCGAGCAAAGGGAGAGAGGAGAGAGCCCGAGGGGGAGAGAGAGAGAGAGCCCGAGCAAAGGAGGAGAGAGAGAGGGAGCAAAGGAGAGAGAGAGAGAGGAGCAAAGGAGAGAGAGAGAGGAGCAAAGGAGAGAGAGAGAGAGAGGCCCGAGCAAAGGAGAGAGGGAGAGAGGCAGGGAGGAGAGAGAGGGGAGAGAGGAGGGAGAGAGACCGAGCAAAGGAGAGAGAGAGAGACCGAGCAAAGGAGAGAGAGAGAGAGAGCAAAGGAGAGAGAGAGAGAGACCGAGCAAAGGAGGAGAGAGAGAGGACCGAGCAAAGGAGAGAGAGAGAGACCGAGCAAAGGAGGGAGAGAGACCGAGCAAAGGGAGAGAGAGACCGAGCAAGGGGAGAGAGAGACCGAGCAAAGGAGAGAGAGAGACCGAGCAAAGGAGGGAGAGACCGAGCAAAGGGAGAGAGAGAGACCGAGGCAAAGGAGAGAGGGGGGGTGGAGAGAGGGGAGAGGGGGAGGGAGAGAGAGGAGGGGGGAGGGAGAGAGGGAGAGTGGGGGGAGAGGGAGAGGGGGAGGGGGAGGAAGAGAGAGGGAGGGGGGAGGCAGGAGAGAGGGGAGAGGAGGGGAGGGAGAGAGGGGGGGAGAGGCAGGGAGGGGGAGAGGAGAGGGGGGAGAGGAGGGAGGGAGAGGGGGGAGAGGCAGGGAGGGAGAGAGGGAGAGGGAGAGAGGGAAGGGAGAGGGAGAGAGGGGAGGGAGAGAGGGGAGGGAGAGGGAGAGGAGGGGGAGGGAGAGAAAGAGCAAAGGAGGAGGAGGAGTGTGAAGTATAAAGAGAGAGAAAAGGATGGGGGGGAGTGGTTACAGAAAAAAGATAGAGAGGGGGAGGATGCTCGAGAACTAAGAACGTTTAGTGGAGATACCTGTGGCTCAGGCTCTGTGCTCTGTACAAGCTCCTGTTCGTCTCCCGGATCGGCAGAACTGGAAACAATAACACCTAGTTATGAATTGTGAATGTTTACTGGATTCTCCATCATAACAACAAATAGTCTCTGATTGTTAAGGAACACCATTATCACACAGTCAGTATATGACCGGCCCTTACCACGGAGGGGACACGCACCTGAGACTCAGATCATTGATGTGGAAGGTCACCTCCTCTGCGTCAATGTGGCTGTAATCGGACAGCTGCTCCTGTGATGTCTCCTGCAGGAAATGTTCCACACAGCTCAGTGAAATGAAGAGCAAGTTATCCATCAAATACAACAGTCTTATCAGAGATGATCTCCATGCTGGTCACACACAGGGCCAGGTGGGAGGAAGTTTAATCCACTTTTCAATTGCAAAACAATCAAATGGATTAAAACACATCATGGAAATTTTTCCATGGTTTAAAGTGTGAATAAACCCTCAATAGCAAAATCAGTCTGTATATGCAGTAAAGAAAATGTTGTGCGTACTGTGGGAGACCGGATATAGTGAATGCGGGGTCCGGGGAGAGCGGATATAGTGAATGCGGGGTCCCGGGGAGAGCGGATATAGTGAATGCGGGGTCCGGGGAGAGCGGATATAGTGAATGCGGGGTCCGGGGAGAGCGGATATAGTGAATGCGGGGTCCGGGGAGAGCGGATATAGTGAATGCGGGGTCCGGGGAGAGCGGATATAGTGAATGCGGGGTCCGGGGAGAGAGGATATAGTGAATGCGGGGTCCGGGGGAGAGAGGATATAGTGAATGTGGGGTCCGGGGGAGAGCGGATATAGTAAATGCGGGGTCCGGGGAGAGCGGATATAGTGAATGCGGGGGGGTCCGGGGAGAGAGGATATAGTGAATGTGGGGTCCGGGGAGAGCGGATATAGTGAATGCGGGGTCCGGGGAGAGCGGATATAGTGAATGCGGGGTCCGGGGAGAGAGGATATAGTGAATGCGGGGTCCGGGGAGACCGGATATAGTGAATGCGGGGTCGGGGGGGAGACCGGATATAGTGAATGCGGGGTCCGGGGAGAGCGGATATAGTGAATGCAGGGTCCGGGGAGAGCGGATATAGGGAAGTATCACTTTAACCCCTTCACGTCTTAGGGTAAACAAATCATATCGCCTAAGCACAATTTTGCAACGTTGACATGTGTTAGTAAAACCGCACATATCATCACTAATACTTTGTACATCCAGGTGGATTACACCTTGTTTTTTTCAGGACAAATTGGGCTTTCATTTGGTGGTAAATGGTAATGGACATCTCCTGTTTTTTTTTTACTACCATAACCTACCACCAAACAACCCAAAATAAATTTTCCAGCTCTTGATGATCGCAGCGATACCATATACAGTGGGGCAAAAAAGTATTTAGTCAGCCACCAATTGTGCAAGTTCTCCCACTTAAAAAGATGAGAGAGGCCTATAATTGGCATCATAGGTAGACCTCAACTATGAGAGACAAAATGAGAAAAAAAATCCAGACAATCACATTGGCTGATTTGGAAAGAATTTATTTGCAAATTATGGTGGGAAATAAGTATTTGGTCAATATGAAAAGTTCATCTCAATACTTTGTTATATATCCTTTGTTGGCAATGACAGAGGTCAGACGTTTCCTGTAAGTCTTCACAAGGTTGGCACACACTGTTGCTGGTATGTTGGCCCATCCTCCATGCAGATCTCCTCTAGAGCAGTGATGTTTTGGGGCTGTTGCCGGCAACACGGACTTTCAACTCCCTCCAAAGGTTTTCTATGGGGTTGAGATCTGGAGACTGGCTAGGCCACTCCAGGACCTTGAAATGCTTCTTACGAAGCCACTCCTTCGTTGCCCGGCCGGTATGTTTGGGATCATTGTCATGTTGGAAGACCCAGCCATGTTTCATCTTCAATGCCCTTGCTGATGGAAGGAGGTTTGCACTCAAAATATCATGATACATGGCCCCATTCATTCTGTCCTGTACATGGATCAGTCATCCCGGTCCCTTTGTGGAGAAACAGCCCCAAAGCATGATTTTGCCACCCCCATGCTTCACAGTAGGTATGGTGTTCTTTGGATGCAACTTAGCATTCTCTCCTCCAAACACGACGAGTTGTGTTTCTACCAAACAGTTCTATTTTGGTTTCATCTGACCATATGACATTCTCCTAATCCTCTTCTGGATCATCCAAATGCTCTCTAGCAAACTTCAGACGGGCCCGGATATGTACTGGCTTAAGCAGGGGGACACGTCTGGCACTGCAGGATCTGAGTTTCTGGCGGCGTTGTGTGTTACTGATGGTAGCCTTTGTTACGTTGGTCCCAGCTCTCTGCAGGTCATTCACTAGGTCCCCCCGTGTGGTCCTGGGATTTTTGCTCACCGTTCTTGTGATCATTTTGACCCCACGGGGTGAGATCTTGCGTGCAGCCCCAGATCGAGGGAGATTATCAGTGGTCTTGTATGTCTTCCATTTTCTAATTATTGCTCCCACAGTTGATTTGTTCACACCAAGCTGCTTGCCTATTGCAGATTCAGTCTTCCCAGCCTGGTGCAGGTCTACAATTTTGTTCCTGGTGTCCTTCGACAGCTCTTTAGTCTTCACCATAGTGGAGTTTGGAGTGTGACTGTTTGAGGTTGTGGACAGGTGTCTTTTATACGGATAACAAGTTCAAACAGGTGCCATTGATACAGGTAATGAGTGCAGGACAGAGGAGCCTCTTAAAGAAGAAGGTACAGGTCTGTGAGAGCCAGAAATCTTGCTTGTTTGTAGGTGACCAAATACTTATTTTCCACCATAATTTGCAAATAAATTCTTTCCAAATCAGCCAATGTGATTGTCTGGATTTGTTTTCTCATTTTGTCTCTCATAGTTGAGGTCTACCTATGATGCCAATTACAGGCCTCTCTCATCTTTTTAAGTGGGAGAACTTGCACAATTGGTGGCTGACTAAATACTTTTTTGCCCCACTGTATGTGTGTTTGTACCCGTAGTACAGCCCAGAAACAAAAGTGCACATTTTGTTTGTTTGTTTGTTTTTTTTTTTACCTAAAACACACTGATACTGACACCAATGTAGAAAAAAATAAAAACCTGGACCTTTGACCTTGACCCAAACACTAACCCTGGTAATAAACTAGATCAAACCTTGATCTAGGTATTTTTTCTTATTTTTAATATTTACTTTTTTTTTTTAACAGTTGTTTTCTCTATGATGAGAGATAGAGAGAGATACAATGCATCTCTCTCTTCCATTCAGATGCCGGCATCTGTCTTCCAGGTTCCATTCCCTGCGACGTCGGGACGTAACCGGCGGGAAATTTAAAAATGTCAAAGAGTGACATTCACTAAAATCACATAGTATAACATTCCTGTATCAAACCATTTCACATACATTTGTGTCCCGAGTGCTTTGTCCGGCGCCCTGCCTGCATTTTTACTGCTCTTTCTGCCTGGAAACTGAGAAACGTCCATGGGGTCCAAAAAGTGTCCCTTTAGGTCAAAAGGAGTTTTAGACCGGCTAGAGAACAGCGATAGTAAATCAGAACCACTTGCAGAATTGAGTGATAATGATTCGTGGGGGAAATTCCTCATCAGACACTGAAAACGATTCTGCGACTTTGCTCAGCGATGTGCGAACTTGGCGCTATATTTCACATTTCAGTGTTTTTGGTTTGATTATATTATTGAATTTAATTTATTATTATTATATTATTTTTTATGATTATTTATTAAATTCTAATTTATGATTTTATGTTTCAAATTTTATCATTCCCAGGATGTTTACTAGACTCTTGTTCGGACAGATTTCAGTGAGTTATTCCTAAGAATTACAGCCTACAATAAAAAAAACTACATATTTCCATGCAAAAAAATGTACCACTTTGAGCACAGAAATATGGACATAATCAGACCGCTAGGGAGGCTACAGGATAACACCACCTTTTTCTAACATGTTACACCGTGGTCTCCAAACTGCGGCCCTGTACTTGCCTTTATCCAGCCCTTGAGGCCTTGATGGGGCATAATTTTTCCTACATACAGGTAACTATTCCCTCCACCACCAGCGATGGGGCATAATTCCTTCCACTTACAACAAAAAATCAGGTACTATTCCCTCCACTGACACCAGCGATGGGGCATAATTCCTTCCACTGACACCAGCGATGGGGCATAATTCCTTCCACTGACACCAGCGATGGGGAATAATTCCTTCTACTGACACCAACTATTTCTCCACCAATATCAAACATAGGGCATTGTTTACTCCCACTGGGCACAGTCCAGCCCCCCCCTAAAGTCTAAAGGACAGTAAACTGGCCCTGCCTTTAGAAAGTTTGGAGACCCCTGGTGTAACATGTTAGTGCTGCAGCTTCCCCGCGCCCCCCTATCCCCGCTGTGACAGCAGACCAGGGATCTTCTCCCAGTGTCTGCTGTCACAATTAAAAAAAGGCACAGCTGTGCAGGGCTCCATCCACCGGGGGCGCTTCACTCATTAACAGTATTCTGTGAATCAGAAACTACAATTACCAACAGGCTTTGCAGCTGTTCGATTGAAGTTTATTTATAATTTATTTCAGGTACTTATATAGCGCCGTCAATTTACACAGCACTTTACATATATATTGTACATTCACATCAGTCCCAAACCCTCAAGGGGTGTACAATCTAAGGTCCCTAACTTACATTCATACATACACATACTAGGGCCAATTTGGACAGGAGACAATTAACCTACCAGAATGTCTTTGGAATATGGGAAAAAACCGGAGTACCCGGAGGAAACCAAAGCAGACATGGAGAACATGCAAACTCCAAGCAGGTAGTGCCGTGGTTGGGATTCTCAAGGAACTGCCAGGGCACGGTTGAGTGCTATGGTCGTTCACTGAAAGTTCCTGTCATTGTGTAACGGACTGCTCACACAAGGTACAAACACACAGCTTACACGCAGTCTGCAGGAGCCCTGCATAGAACCCACGATCTGCTGATTGCAAGTGCAATGCTTTGCAGACTCCCAGTAAAAAAATAATAAATGCACTTTTTTACCTGCAAAAAGATGTGCATTTATGATTTTTTTTGGCAATGGTGAACTTATCCTCTAACAAGTGTTTAATGAAATTACTCCCTGAGACTGGGTTCACACTATGTGGTGCGGGACACTGCAATTCACACGGGAATCGCACTGCATTCATGTGCAAATGACATGCAATGTCTGTGCGGTTAGATTTGAGCCATACATTTTGTATGGCTCAAA